GTACATTGTTTAGAAGCCCTGCCACGATCGGAGAACAATTCAAAACCGATCTACAAGACCTAGTAACTACTGTCCCTCTTTACAATCACATCACTTTGCCCACTCGGTTCAGAACTGGTAACAAGCCCTCTGTTCTGGATCTTGTGCTTACCAACGAGGAGCATATGACTGATGCGTTGGTTTTAGACTGCCCGTTGGGTCGAAGTGATCACGCAGTCATCAGTTTCAACTTCGTCTGCCATGCAGAATATCGGAATGAGAACGACGATACTGTGAGAACCATCACAAGGTACGACCGATTCGCCCAGCTCGTCAGCGCCACAACTTGGTCTTTCCTCGAAGAAGAACCCCCGGAAGTCGCCTGGCTCGAGTTCGTCAAAAAATTCAGTCAGCTGATTGCACAGGCTTCAGAGATAAAAGCTTGCAATAAGTGCAAATCCGTTTCTTTCGTTAGGAGCACAAGTCGAAAATGGATGACAGTACGCAACGCAGCATGGCGAGTGTACAGAGAAGCTCCAGCACCAGAAACTTGGGACAACTATGTAGCCCAACGTAACCACTGCACTAAACGGTTAAGAGAAGACAAAGCCGCCTATCAGCAGAACATCGCAAAAACCTTCAGTACTAACCACAAACTGCTGTACAAGCACATTAATAGCCTACGAAAGGTGAGGCAAGGATTTCCTCCACTCAAGACGGTTGATGGCCCAACAAGAACATCTATGGAAGCTGCAAACGCGCTGCAGATGCAATACGCCTCCACGTTTCAAGGAGTCTTGCCACCAAGCGATCTACCAAGCTTTGTATTCTGCTCATCAGGACTAACCCGCATCAATTTTACCGCGGAGGCCGTATTGCAAAAACTGACTTCTCTACGGAAACACGGCTCACCGGGTGTCGACACCATTCGTCCAGAGGCATTGGGAGCAGCAGCAAGTCAACTGGCAGGACCTTTAGCTCAGTTTTTCCAGCACTGCTTAGACCAGAACCAAGTTCCCGTCATGTGGAAGCTTGGAATAATAAGCCCGATCCACAAAGGTGGAAGCAGAACTGATCCCTCCAACTACCGCCCAGTATCCTTTCTTCCTATACACTCCAAGGTTATGGAATCCATAGTTGCCGATGCACTGGTGTGCTATCCGGAAAACTGAAACCTCATCACTCCTGAACAGCACGGTTTCCGTCGACAGAGGTCATGTACAACGAATTTACTAATTGCACGCAGTAGTTGGTCTGAGGCAGCTGACGCCGGTGTTGAGGTGATGTACCTGGATTTTTCCAAGGTTTTCGACCGTCTAGCCCATCGGATACTATTATCCAAGCTGCAGCATTACGGGATCGGAGACCATTTTTTAAACTGGATCGCCAACTTTCTACATCAACGACAATTAGCGGTCAGAGTTCGGAGCTCTTTATCGGACCCCATACAAGTCGAGTGTGGTGTGCCGCAAGGCTCAGTTCTAGGTCCACGTTTGCTTTTTGAGTTTATTAATGACTTTGCACAGGGAATCGCTTCATACTTCATAATGTTTTCCGACGATATCAAGACCTGGCGCGGGATCCAGGCGAACGCCGACCAACATGGGCTTCAGTGTGATTCAGATAGGGTGTGTCAATGGTCGACTCCAAACCTATTGCATTTCAACGTCAGTAAATGCAAGGTACTTTCCATACGACATCCGAAAATCTACTCATACCAACTCGGAACGAATATACTACAACAATCAACTCTCGAACGTGACTTGGGTGTCCTGGTTCAAGATGACTCGGGTTGCTCCAGGCAATCCGAAAAGGCCTCGAAGACTGGGAACCAACACGTCGGGCTGTTGATGCGGGCGTTTGGACAAATAAACAGCTCCATATTTCGACCAATGCTCAGTGCGTATGTTCAACCACATGTCGAATACGCAATTCAAGCCTGGCATCCATGGCTGAAACACGACATTAATGCACTGGAGCAGCCACAACGCCGGGCATCTAAGAACGTAATAAGAATGCGCAATCTTTCCTACAAGGAGAGGCTGCAACGACTGGGATTGTTCAGTGGAAGATATCGCAGACTACGAGGCGATCTGATTATGGCGTAGTTGATTCTGCGAGACCCACATCATGTGTGCCGCCCATTACTGCAACTCAGCAGCAATACAAACCTGAGGGGCCACTCATTAAAACTCGCAGAACAATACAGTCGTCTGGAGTGCCGCAGAAATTCCTTTTCCATTCGTGTCTGTCACCCGTAGAGTGCTCTCCCAGAATCGGTCGTCTCTGCACAGACACTAACAGTATTTAAAAGACGGCTGGACGAAGCACTCATCCATTTACACTTTGTCACTTAACAATACGTCTCCATCCTACACCTGGATTTTACCATGGGATTATTTGTTGTTAACTGTGGGTGATAAAACCAGATCCGGTTATGATCGTCTCTTGTCCGAGATGAGCGAGAATCAACAGGGATGTAGAACCACCAGGCAGTCCGTCGTGTGTTAATATTTATTTCCCCCTGGTCATTCATTCTGACCGCTAGCCTATCTCGACCAATTCATCAGTGCCTAGAATGCTACCTGTACCCAAGCATTTCGATTTGAATGTCACGTCGTGTTGTCGCTGTTCCGGAATCAACCTTGATGACTTGTCTGAACCTCAGTGTGTTTACCTGAAGGTGGTAGCAGTACAAGGGAGCGTATAGGCACTAGAGATGGGATACACTGACCTCATATTGCAACCCGCAATAAGTCACGGTGTCACACGAGAGGAAATGTAATAAGACCCATCTGTCAAGTGGGAACGTAGCGAGACACGAACAGATGTTAGCGGGACTTGTAATTTAGGCGAGTCCCATTTAGACATCGAGCCAGCAGATAATGGTGTCACGCGAGTGAAAATGCCATCAGTCTGTCAGGCTAAAGTGTGGCGCTTACAAGTGTTTCTAAATGGCTTCCACTTAGTCATTCAACATGAGATATCAGTTGACGTACCAAAGGTCCCTGGTTCGAGTTGCAGTACTGCAGTGTTGCGAACGCGCATTTGTTCACACTTGTGTATGGACTACCACAAACTGGATGGAGAAACAATAACCCTCATGAGCAATAACACTACGAACGTGCGCGAGTATGGATTGAATGTAACAATAACAACCATATTACACTAGTGCTGAAAGATCTCACGTACAAGTAACTAATACGACTGTCGTTGATTAGGTAACATTTAAACGTTAACCTAAATGGCAGACATAAATTTAGTCAAAGTGTGGCATCAACAATAGATAGAGGAATAGGGAAGCAAATACCATCAATACGGTTACAATATGGAATGGTGCACACATAAGAGCTACCAATAAAACAGTGATGTCTTATCGTTAGTGTATACTGCAGATGCCATCTGCTATATGCCTTAGAAGACGGTAATATCACAGATTCTCTGCTAATCGCTATGACGCGATCACAGGAAGAATACATCTAGTAAATCCCGCTGCGTCCTGTCCTACATTCGGCTATCGAAAAAGTGCTCAAACTGTTTAGCTATTCTGCGCTACAATTCAAGTGTTGCTACAGTTAGACTGACCTACTTCTAGGTCAATCCAGATCATTGGCCATTTCTAATTCAAATAGTAGCAGGCACCTTTGCCCTTCCGCCGCTTACCTGGATAATAGCTGCCTTTTCTTAAGCGCGCCTGAGTTCAGTATGACGGATGAACAGGTACACTCACTCTCGTGACTAATATGTGGAACAGAACATGTGGTATCAACATCAGCATCATCCTCGCTAGTCAGTTACTAGCCGGGATTATTCAGTTTACACACGGAAGAGCCAAAGTGTGGGCGCTTGCATCGAAACTTCTTGGGCCTTGAACACCGAATTTCCAAACTGCATTCCAAAGCGAGGAAGCGTTGTAGAGTACTTGGGCTCCAGGGATAATTGTTGATCACTACACCTAATTTGTTCAATCGAATGCACGAACGAATGTGGAATATTGTAAGTAATAACCGCTTAATAGCGAGGAGTTAACGCGACCCATTCACATCAGCGGCGTCACCATTATCGCTGGCTTTTAAGATGAGAATACTTGAGGATAGGCGAGCAATCTAAGGGACTCATTATTGTATCTTCGAAACCGTAACACATA